TCTTTTATATATTTTATATATAAATATTTATATATATATTCTTAATATATGTTGTTTGTAGCTATATCTGGAGTTGTAATGAAAATAATTTCCCCCTGGGATTATTAAAGTATTTCTGATTCTGATTCTGATTCTGATTCTCTTGTGGATGTGTAATCTAGCAATTATATCACTAACTGAAAAAAAAAAATATTATTATTTATTGCAACAGTACCAATTACAGTCAGGTCTAGCTGACTAATGCTAGGAGCTCTGTTAGGCTGTACTTCGGCACAGTGGTCCTGGGAACTAAGGACTAAGTAAGCATGTTATCACTACTTGGCAGTGAACATGAACTTTAGCTGTGCATGATGGGATTTGCAAGTGTTTGGTCATAAACCAAAGTATTCAACAAATTAAAGCTGGTTGTGGCGCTAGAGGTACTGTCAGGGGATCACCAAAGTCATACAGACACATTGTCTGGGCACTGTGAATATCTACAACAAATTTAATGACTAATAGTTGTTGAGTCATATCACTAAAAAAACAAAAATGTCAACCTACTAGTGGCACTAAAGGAAAAGTTGGGGGATCACCAAAGTCTGTATTCATCCAGTAGTTGTTGAGTATTTCAGTCTAGACTGAAGTGGTGGACGGACCAACCAGCCGGCTAACATGGCTAAAACATTTCTCCCATTTTTTCTAGTTGAATAAACACAACACAAACAAAAGTGTTGGTCGGTATGTGCGTCACATAGCTGGTTCTGTTGGAGTGCTGATGGAAGCAAATTCCACTCCATCCACTGCTTTATCCATTAGGGTATTAGTGGTTTCAAAACCAACCACCACACAGGGAATTTCAGCTGGCCAATTCAAACCATTGTGCCATATCAGTCAGATGATTTCAGAGTCATATCAGGTCAACTATTGGTATAACCACATAATTAACCATCCAGTCAGATAGATTTATGAGTAATATGAGTATAGCATGTTTTTAGAACATTCACAACATGAAAAAACAAATCTATTCCAATACATTGAATATGCTTAATATAACACTTAAAAACACAGCTGAATTATCTATTTACTATAATGAAGGTGTGAGGGAGTATAAAATAATAATATTAACCCACTTCTAACTGATATACACAAAGACATAAATGATAAACTACTACAAAGAGTGGATATAATACTCCTCCATTTTGTGAGCTGACTGCTTGCAAGGTTAAACAGAGTGTCAGGTTGTCAGAGGTTTTACAAGCTTCCTTGAGGTTATAAGGGCTCAGCACTTTACAAACTGGTTTTCTGTCCATACTTTCCCCCATACAGTCAACTGGATCTCATCTCTCATTCAACTTCTCCCCCCAAGACACACCTCCCCTCAAGGTTGATTCAAGGTGCATAGTTTGATAAAGCAGCAGTGGCACAAATTACTTCATATGGGAGTTATGCATATGATAACCCTGACTTAGATGAAATGACCACTGTCTCATTTCTATAAGAGGCACAATGTGGCGCCGTACCTTTAAATCTGATGTTTTGTTGGCCTTTAGTTCACCAGCTCTTAATTCTTTTTCATTTTTCACTCTGATTTCATTCTGATCAAAATATGAAAAGCTGTCAGAACTGCATACAGTGACTGTCTGAGCTTAATAGAGACACTTCAGTATAGAAACTGACAAAAGAATGCTGTAATATACAGAATATAAAATGAGGATATAAGAAAGCAGTGTCGCAGAGATTCACATGATGGATTTATCATACATTCTCCCACTCTGAACTGCTGAGCTATTTATAAGCTCCAGCTGTCTTCCCAAATTCCCTGTGTGACTGGCAAACTGCAAAACACATAAACTCTACTTGGGCTGAGATAAAATAACAGTTAACTAACTCACACTGTAAATTTGGTGTTTTGGTAACTTCGTGCCTAATCTTTGCGGTTCGACGTCCTCCCCGATAATCCATTTAATAAGGTGTGTCAACAATCATGTGCCTTCCAGAATGACTCCTGAGGTAAATATAGCATCCTGAGGTGACATTGTGGAGCGTCATGGCCTCGTGTTTGTTATGTTGTAAACAGAAAGCTACGGACCGTCAGACGCAGGATGTGATTAAGTGAAGCACAGCTTAGCCAGAGAGCTATTTAGAGACATCACTTTAATTGAGTTCCATTCAGAGTATCCCTTTCAGAGTAAACATAATAAGTCCAGGAGTCACACACAGACATGAGTGTACAGGAGGATAAATAAGGGAGCTGACAATAACAAAGACCAGGATCACCCCCCCACCCCCTATTGTAAACTGAGAAGCTGCAGCACGGACAGACTGGTACAATAGGTAACAGTACAGACAGTGCATATATCACTGTGTCCATCACACGCTAGAGGATAATGTGTCTTCTCAAAACATCCATGGATCATGCAGTTACAGCTTGGCAATCTGAACAACAACAAAAAAAGAGACACGCTGAGAATGATAACAGATGAATCAGAAAGGGATCATGTAGTTGGTTTGGCCAGGGTAAGGGTAGAGACGTCTGACTGGTTTGGTACACCTAGCTCCGTCCACGCTGGCCCTGTGTGCGCACTCATCGCTGTCAGTCCTGCAGGCGCCGCAGTGGCAGCTGAGAGCCACGGGGTAGGTGAAGACGGGGTTGGCGTCGAGGGGGCAACCGGGGAGTATAGCCGTGCGGTATTCCACCTTGTCATAAGTGCAGCCTCTCTGGATAAGGAAGCGTGGGCCGAGTATACCCCTCATGTTGCTGTCCTGCTCACCATACACAAACACATAAATACACTTAAAATATCTTTTAATTCCTTGAAAAAACTTTATTTGGGATGCTTGTTTTCAACTGAAAAAAGGCACCAGAATAGTTTAATTTTTAGTCCCAATTAGAGGCAGGTCCCCTTTACTGGCCTGGTGTGGTTACACAATTTGACCAATAAGACAATTTAATGTCAATTAGACACCTGGTTTGGATTTTAAAACATTTTTTGGATGTATAAAACCTCTTAACCAACCAGGGTCGCCTGCTTGAGCGAGTTCCAAGCTGCTTAGATCACCTACACAAATACTCACTGTTTGATCTGTTAGATTCTCCACCATCAATCAATAAAATGTCATGTCCTGGAAGACTTTCTCTTCTTCCTCTACTGTTTGTTGGGTATGCTTGTTTTCATTACCTGGTTGCTGGCTACCGGAATTAAACGCCTGTCCCAAATATAATGACAGCAAAAACTTCTTTTTTTTTAAACATTATAACAACATTTAAATTTTCTGTTATAGTATATTTTGAATCAAAATACCCCAAATTAATTTTTACTGTAGATTTTATTCGAAATATTTCTTATTCAGAATTGACATTTTTCTAAAAGATTACCTATGTTTTACTCTTTTCCCCTATGATTTTACATCAGTACATATGCAATTAAACTGTATTATTTTATATATTTCAGAAAATACTTTAAGTGAATATAATAATTCAATCTGCCTCCATTGGCCATGGTATAAACTTTTACTATTATTCCGCTCCAAAGGACATACATACCCTTGAGTAGCAAAATCCCATGCAGATGGTAGTGTTGATGGCCACACAAAAGTCACACTCTGGCCTTTCCACATACAGGGTGAAGTCAGTGGGTAAACACATGGGAACAGCTGGACTGAACAGCAGGAAAAGGAGCCAGCAGCTGAACACTGCAGTCTCCATGTTAAGCAATGTTATTTTTTCCCCAATCAATTTGGGACCTGCATGAGGAAGGAAAGATAAAGAGACAAACTGACAACCAGATAAAAGAGAGGATCAAAAGTTTGCCATCTTAAATATTATCTGTTCTCCTCTGCATGTGTGAGTTACCTGCTCAAGAGATGCTGGCTCCTGCAGGCCTGATGATGATGCTGTGAGTCCGAACATCCCTGCTGAACAGTATTTATACCAACATTATATAATCCACCTTTACCCAAACTAGCCATTATCTTCTATCTGTGATGGAAAGGAAAAACTGATCTTTTGGTCCATTATGTGGATGACATGAATTAATGATTTCCTTCATGAACAAAGTTCATGCAGTAACCAAGGAAATGGACTCAATGGATTCTGCACCAGCTGTGCAGCCTCTGAGCAACTCTGTCCAAAGTAATCTAAAGCAGTGTCCACTAGATGTCACAAAATGCCCAGAATCTTGAAGAAGAATGCATGATTTTAAAAGAGACACTCAGACTCAAAGAGGTTTACTTCCTTTTCCAAAACAAACCTAATCTGTCTCTCATTTGAGAAAATTAACTGAAGAAAAAGCCTTTTTCCCACACACAGCTTTCTGAATGTGCATGTCCAAATAATGCTTTTGTGCACCACTCAGCAATGTCAGTTCCCAAGATGTCACAGTCCAGTCTTGGGGGCAACACGGGCAAAAAAAAAAACATTCAGAGGTTCATCTAATCTGCTTTGCTAGTAAGTAAGTAAGTAGTCTTCACATACAGACCTGACATGTCAGTACCTTGACTTGAAAAGTCCTTATCTATATTTTTGTTTAATGATTGTTGAGCAGCGCCATCGCCTCAATTGTCATGCATGTGATTGTTTGTAATGTCATTCTTGCTTTTGCTTTTATCTCCTCTTTATTTATTGCTCAATAGGATTCCTACAGACAAACACACACTTCTCTTAGCATTCTGTTGCTGTGCCGTGCATTGGGCTATCTCACAAACACATTGGACAGACTCTTTTCTCTTCTTCCCTTTCATTTCATTCACAGGACCACTCACAGAAGTTAAGTCCTCATCTACAACTGTTATCTTGTACAATGCACATGGCCGACGTGTTGTCACTCTGCAGTAGTGAGTACATCCAGCAAATAGGGAAACATTATTGTTGAAGATTATTACAACACAGTGAAAGCATAAACAGTATAGTGTAAGTTCAATGTCCATTTTAGCCACTCATTCCTTCTCCTCAGCTCTTACTTCTCTTTACAAACATTAACAGTAAGTGCCATTTTACATTAACTTTTGAATATTTCACTGGAACTGATGCTCTCGTAAAGACTCACTTGAATGAAATCAACCATAAAATCTCTATTCATTGGATTACCAATAATGTATCACTCTTAATATATGTTGTACGGATGTAGTCCCTGCCAAAAGCTTACACATACTTTTTCTTTCTCATCAGCAATATATTTTTTTTACTGTAGTCGTCACTTTTCTCCCACTGACACCTATGTGTTTTTGAGTTTGAAATGACATGCTTCCCTATGCATCATTGGATAAAAAATACAGAAGTGCTAAATTAAGCTTTGGTTATCACATGTGTGACAGCAGCAGTAGTGACCCAGCCTTAAAGATTTAACCTGCCCTGCCACCGGAAATTCCTCACATAATCAGTAACTACTGAGAAACCTCGAGTTGTATAAAGACACACACTGGATGTGTCACTATGTCACATAAGGAATAGAGACATCATGATAACATAAAGTCTCTAATTTGTCATCAGAACAACACAACCTTAACAACACCACAGGATCATCACCTTTTACAATCACTGACTGGCTTCAGTACTGTGTGTCCTTGATAGATTATTAACTTAAGTGAACTAATCTTTATAGTCTGCTGAAAGCATCAGAGTGGACTTCTGCCACTTGCAGGAGTGTAGCTGAAATATCTCATTGCTTTTACAATTAGTTGGAGCAACTCTGATAACTGATTATTGGATTGGCACAGCCGAAGAGGACTAAAACTTGGATTTTTCTGTTCTTTGTTGAAGGTTTGAAGGGAAGATTTTAAATGAGTGCAGCTGATGACTGACAGTTGACTGAGTCTGTCTTTACTGTGTATTCTGGCTGTTGGTATCAGAATCAGAATCAGAATCAGAAATTACTTCTGGTATTGGTATATGTGACGATTTCAGGATCATTTGAAGGGGAGAATATTAAATGCTGAATATTGCATAATACAGAAATTTCTTGACGACAGTTCAGAAAGAAGTGTTAGTAAAAGGAAGCTCCTTCTGCTGAACTAACCATGGTGGGTACAGGTGGTCCAGTGGCCACTTTCTCCGTGTGGGATTATGTTGTGTTTGCTGGAACAATTTTGGGGGCAGCTGGTATCGGCCTTTTCCAGGCCATTCGAGGCCGTAAGGAGACCAGTAGCGCTGAGTTCTTGCTGGGTGGACGGCAAATGACAGCTGTGCCTGTTGCCATGTCGCTCACTGCCAGCTTCATGTCTGGAATCACAGTCATCGGCACACCTGCTGAGGCCTACAGGTTTGGGGCTGCATTCTGGACCTTCGGCTTTGCCTATGCCATCATGTCTGTCATCACTGCTGAGATCTTTGTCCCACTTTTCTACAGACTGGGGATCACCAGTGCCTATGAGGTGAGGAAGTGATTATAGTGGTACAAAGGCTAGCTCACAGGTGCAGCAGGAAATGAGTTAAAATGGAAAGATCAATAAAGCAAGTATGGTTTATTGGAAGGCTACAGAAAGCAAAGGTGGTTTAAAATGATCAGGGGTACATGAAGTTTGTACAGAATACAACAGCTATAAAAGTATCTCCTCCAAAAAAACACCTTTCACATTTTGTAAATGTGGATATATTAACTAAACCACTGTGTATGAACCGAATCATCAGTTCAATGATGTCTGACTAGTTCTCCTTTTCTTTTTTAGTACCTGGAGATGCGATTCAGCCGGCCTATTCGGCTAATTGGAACATCAATGTACATCGTGCAGACGGTAACTAAACATGCTTTTATCTAACAGGAATATTCAATGACTTTTTGTATTTAGATAATTAAAAACAAAAGTAGCAAACCCTGAAGAATGGAACAAACATCCATAGTTAGCATGGGAAATGTGACATGGCAAAAAGCACCTGTCTTTGTTCTTTTTGACTTTATGTAAAAACTGATTCTTCATACCAAATCCAAGATTAATATGAATCACATGCTTGTTGTGTTTCCAGCTAATCAACTAATGGTGGCCTCTTTTCTCAGGCCCTGTACACTGGGTTGGTCATTTATGCTCCAGCTCTTGCACTAAATCAAAGTAAGTCTATAGCAGCAACAGTTCTAAATAAAATGAAGTTAGGTACCTTTGCTATTGTTGATTTGTGACTTTCCACCTTTGCCTCTCCTGTCTACTTCTTCTGGACAAGAAACCTCTGGACAAAAAGAGTAGGGTTTTTTCCAGTGTGCAGCCTCACTTAATTGTAGTTCAACCATCAACCTGTAGTGTTCTGTCTAATCTCTTTACAATTACCTATTTTATGATCAATTTTGTCCTGATAACAGTTTTTATATTACTAAAAGAGTTGTTAAAAAATGATACAGCTGTTTCTTTATTTCATGTTTATCTTAATCACAGTTTAAACCTTGAACAAAGAGGTGACCACGTGTAGCAAGGGAAATGTATCATTAGTGCCAAGTTACAAACCATGGATATGTACACAATTTTAGAGAGGTTATGGAGACTTACAGAGGCTTAAGTTACTAAAACTGTCACGTTGTTATGTCTCAAGAAGCTTATTTTGATTATATGAATCATAATGGTGCTTTTTATGTAATTACTCAGTCACAGGACTTGATCTATGGGGAGTGCTGGTGGCTACAGGAGCAGTGTGCATCATCTACTGCACTTTGGTTGGTACAGCGCATGTCAAAGAGTATCATGTATTATATTGAATGAATTACAACAAACAGAACAGAACAAACAGACCTGTATTTTAAACTGTTAAACTAAAAGGTTCATTATATTACACCTATTTTAGTTTGGGGTTAATGAAGCTGTTTGATCTGCTTGTGAAACTAATGAGAGTTATTCTCTGCATTATAATAACATTAATCTCAACTAATTTGAGAGACTGCATAAAGGTACTAAGATACGGTGGCTCTAACGTGGATTTTGTTTCAGGGCGGTCTGAAAGCGGTAATCTGGACAGACGTGCTGCAGATGGTGATCATGCTGGCAGGTTTTGTGGCTGTTATAGCTCGAGGAGCTGTACTGCAGGGAGGCCTGGGGAAGATTTGGGAAGATGCTGGTCAAGGAGGCCGACTAGAGGCGTTTGAGTATGTACACAAGCAGAGTTATTATTAGTTTTAAACAAATTATGATACCAGATGGGTTAAATTGCCACAACAGGAAAAGCAAATTCAATCAACTTTTCCATAATTGTTATATGTAACTCTTAATTCCTTGAATATGATACTTGAATAGTGTTATCCCACATTATTAGAAGTTTGTACTGTTGATGTCCCCAAACATTACCTTCAATATTCCTTCATGTTGTTGACTTTTATCACAGTTTTGACCCAGATCCTCGGAAGCGACATACTTTCTGGTCCATTACAATCGGTGGCAGCGTGATGTGGACGTCTATCTATGCAATCAACCAGTCCCAGGTGCAGCGCTACATCTCCTGCAAAACCTTGGGACACGCCAAGATGTGAGCGTTCCTGCTGTGACAGTATAGTATTGGCTAAGAGCGAAGGTCCATGCACTGACAAGTCTTCTAACATCTCCCAGGTCTCTGTATGTGAACATGGTTGGCTTGTGGGTAACTGTGAGTCTGGCTGTGTTTTCGGGCCTCACCATGTTCTCCATTTACAAGAACTGTGACCCACTTACAAACGGTGATATAAGCACCCCTGACCAGGTAACCGCGGCTGCAATTCTCTCTTTGCTCATCATCACATGGATGTCATGCTGTTTGACAAGCATTATGAGTGAAAATGCTTTATATTTGTAAACTAGCTGCTGCCCTACCTCGTGATGGATATACTGGCAGCCTATCCTGGAATCCCTGGCTTGTTCGTGGCTGCTGCATACAGTGGCACCCTTAGGTGAGGCCTGACACATATAAGGAAAAAGGAGTGAGAAAAGCTGTGTTGATAAGATAGTGGATACGATGGTAAGGAAGAATGAACTGGCAATACCTGGCTTATGTTGTTTCCTGAGAAAAGTCCACATTGTTGTTCCGCTGAAAATTGAGCAAGTTATTGTTGCACTTTCATTTCGCCTTTAATTATATAATTTTATTTATACATAATGCCAGAAACAACCACCTACATGCTACCTGATAATCTTCTATGTAATCTGTTCTGCCACTAAAATCATCAGCCTTTCCGTTCTGTTCAGTGACTAACAGCTTACCCTTCGTATTTTTCAGCACGGTGTCTTCAAGCATTAATGCCCTAGTTGCTGTCACTATGGAAGACTTTATTCTTCCACTGTGCAAAAACCTCACAGAGAAACAAGTGACCTGGTTGAACATGGGGCTGAGTAAGTTGTGTGTGAATTATTTTTACAGTAACCCAAGAATACATAAGAAAAGGATAAAGTAAAAAAGCCACCACATACTACTGAGGACAAACTGTTTGAGCAAAAACACTCACATAGTACGCTCTGATCATGAATACCACTGTAGTCACCTTACAGAATGACACCTATTACATCCAGACTCACAAGATACCAGTAGACCAAGATAACCATTATCTTATCTTGTTATTCTTAGCAGGTAATTAGCCTGTTTCAAATTGCCCTGTATGGGTTAGGACATGATCAGGATAAGTTAAACATAGATATTGTAGTGCTGCTGTCTTAATCTTCTTTATCCAACGACAAAAGTCATTACTTGATGACTTAATGCTACAATAATGTGAGTGTTGTCTCAGGTAGATTTACTGAGAAATGGCTGGACAAGCAGGAACATGTATGTAGGTTCTACAAACTTCATTTGGCAGCATAAGATCAAGGATGTGACTCCACTTTCTCTTTCTCTGTGAAAGAAAGAAATTGCACTGCCCTCAACAAACCGAAAGTACCAAAGTGCTTTTACAACCAAAGCCATAAAACAATACTAAGGATACACACCGCAACAATCACAGACAGTACAATTACGACGTTCTGTAGCTGGCGCACTGCAGGCATTAAACAGCCCTTCCAGTAAATAGCAGTAGAGCGGCGCAGACAGCCAAGCGAGCCACCTAAGAGGACCAGTACTGCCTTCCAAATTGACTGCTACATTTCTCACAAAGCTGGTCTTAGCTTCGATTTAAAGGGCTGAGATCACGTAGTCGCGTGCGAATGTCACCGGGCACTCTTGTTCCCCACAGTGCTGGGAGCAGCGAGGCAAAAGAACCGATCGCCACTGTTTACCGTCCTTCACCTCAGGGACACTCTAAACTGAAGCTGACCGAGGAGCGCAAGGCTCTCGGCCACACTGCGAAAGTTCACATGGGTTTAGCCATTCATCCTGCCACAATTGCGAAAAGTTACATTGGTTAGCATTGATCTGTATTTTGTATCTCTGTGGATACAAATCCATTTATGACAACTGCTACTGCCCCACAGAGTTTGAACTTCTGAACTGAATGTTTTACAATCACTTTTCACCTGCAGATACCATGGGCAAGAACAGACAAACAATTAAGTAATTAAGTAAAGAGCACAAAATTCTCCTAATACAAATTCAGACTTCAGTTATCTATCCCTACATTTTGATAAGAACATTTAAACATTTATGAAAACTGCATCAGAGTTGAAAATTTAGATCTGATTCTTTCCTTTCTTCTACTTCAATAATGTTGATTGTAACATCTCTCAGGTGTATTCTTTGGTGCCCTGTGTATTGGGATGGCTGGAATTGCTTCACTGATGGAAAGCATATTGCAGGTAAACCTCTCGACACCATGCACCAACAGTAGTGCAGCCATTTATTGCTCAACAGCACCACCAAGAGCTGAATATTGAGAACTACAAGGCTCCTGACAGTTTTCTATTTTCAGGCAGCTCTGTCCATATTTGGAATGATCAGTGGGCCTCTTCTTGGTCTTTACCTATTAGGCATGCTATTCCGCACACCAAATTCAACAGTGAGTATTTCCTATTGCTGGAACATTCACTGGCTCAACTGCACCCTCTCATAACACAAAGAAAACGTACAAAAAAAAAAACAAATGTGACACATGCAGGAAGTATTTGACTGCAGTCATATTTACTTTGCAGGGAGGACTTGTGGGAATGATCATTGGTCTAGTGTTGACTCTGTGGGTGGGGATTGGAGGCCAGATTTACCCACCAACAGCTGAAAAGACAAATCCTCTCCCACTCAGCACCGTGGGCTGCAACAGCACTACGGGCCAAAACTATACGACGACAGCTCCATGGACCAGTCCTGTGACCCCGCAGCCTGAGTGAGTCATGTTACATAAAATGAATGTCCATGATGCACATAATATGGTTAGAATAAATATGAATACTCTACTTAGTGTAGCAAAGTCAAAACATTATTCAAAGCTTTAAGCTGCCCTAAAAAAGATTTACTTGCATTTGCCAATTCATCACAAAAAGTAGAAATTTCTCAGAATAGATTTTGCTGACATGACACTAAATCAGAGTCCACAAACTTGAATAGCAACCCACTGCTTTTCTGGACTACTTTTCAGACACAAATTTCTAAATAAATTCTGAAATCCAGTTGATAGGTGCAGTAATGAGAGTGAATATCCAAATGCATAGAGAGAAGATCCAAAGACACTCAACCTCCACTAACCACTAACTATAAACAATATATACTTACAACCTGAGCTGTGACTATTTTTATAATTGATTCATTATTTAGGTGTTTTATATAGTAATTGCAAACTGAGTATCTTTTTGTTGGACCACTGGTTAATAATTGAGAAAGAAATCAGTAGATTAATAACTTGCAGACCTACTTTATACAGCATATCACCATAAAGAAGTGGCAGACTGACAGGAGTATGATACCTAAAATGATTTCCTTTGTGTGACAGTGTCAGGCCACCTCTGGCAGACTCCTGGTACTCTCTGTCCTACGTCTACTTCGCTCTCTTGGGTACACTGACCACAATGGTGTCTGGCCTGCTGGTGAGCATCATCACAGGTGAGATGTTATTTCCTTACCTGTACTTCCACTGCAGAGGCACATACATGCTTGTGTGTTCTAAATGTTTAAATGTTAGAGTCTAAATCCACCATAAAACAGTAATGGGGATATGTATTTATTCCTTTTTAGGCGGATGCAAGCAAGAGAAATTGAACTCCGATCTGTTTGTGAAGAAGAGTGACCTGATCTGCTTTAACCGGTGTGGTAAACCAGAGGTAAGAGATTGACCCTTTGGTTAGATAACTGGTAACAAAGTGAGGATTATCACCAAACTACACAAGATTCTCTCATGTTATTAACAGTCTGCTGAATTTTCTCTACAGGCGTCAGACGTCGCGGAAAAGGTTGCAACAGACTTTCATATGGAAGCTGACAACCCGACATTCACAGACTTTGATGTGACGAGTAAAGAAGCTGAAAAAGCCACCAAACTGTAACGCTGCTGTATGAATACATTGTTCCTTCATGGAGATGTGTTAATGTATTTTTTATAAACACGTAAATGACGAGCCACGATGGTTTTGCTGCTACATACCTGTGGTGCATTTGATTTGCAAAAACAAGTAATTGTATGTTGATTATTATGTTTCAAACATCGTTGATCATCAAGATTTACTTGACAGAAAGGAAGAACTTGACAACTAGTAATAAGGCTTGGCAAACTGAACTTGAAAAGGATGTAATTCAAATTCCAACACTTGCTTACTTACGTGGCCACACGACTTAGGTGCTTAAACAGAAAAAAACAAATCCACAGTTAGACAATGTTCTACAACAGCTGGTGTTATAATCTAGTCCTGTAATTAAAGCTGGGTGTTTCTGCTGTTGTCCTATCCTTCACAATAAGGAAACAGCATTTAAAATAACACAAGGTCACCACATGTTTTACTGATTTTTACTGACTAATTGCGCTGATCACATTTCCTGTTTAGCAGTGATGTGGCAACACTGTTTTACTTTTATTGCCCTTTGTTCAATTGTTCTCTCTGATAGCGGCTACTAGCCCTATATTTCCTACCTGAACATTGTCCTCTGACGCAGTCAACCTGCAATATTGTTTGTTGTTTTACAATATGTATGTGGCATTACTAGTTTGAAGGAACAATGGCCATTGAATTTTAAGTATTTGTATACTGCCTTGTTTTATATGAAAATTGTACACTCTCTATAGATTTCCTGTACCAATTAATCACAAATTCTACTTCTTAATAAATACTTTGTACAAAGTTCAACCGTGTGGACTGAAAACATAAGCGCACAATTTCAGCACAGAGAACGTCAGTGAATGTTTGACCTTTAAATGTAAGAAAGAGATGAACAATGAATCCAAGAAAAATACATTTAGTGTGCAGTTAATGTTCGGCCATGCGGCGTCTACACAGGGTTGTAACATTCATTTGAACTGAACAAGAAAGAGACAGACAGAGAGAAATTGAGCTTTGGTCTTGAAATAACCCTGCCCTTTGTATCCTTGGCAACATACAATAGAGGAAGTTTACAAAGCACTGACCTGCCCACTTTTACCTGCCACCATGCCAGCAAATCAAGCCTTCAGCTATTTCAGGTTTGTAGGAAGTGGAGAGTCAGCCGTGACATGGAGGCAGGCTCACTATCGGGGAAGTGAACTAAGTTACTGTTTTCACTGATTCTAACAAAACAAGGTGAGCCTTTTTTTAAATCAGTCTACCACTATAAGTTCTGCAAAAGTAATTTACTTGTTAATCAAGGTTTGGCCCAGCTTTCACAGGATTGCAAGATTAGATGTGTTTCCATCGACTAACTATAAAAGATCAGAGCTGATAAGCATAAGTCGTGTTTAGTTTGGCTGTAGTAATTTCCTGTAGATGTAAGTTCTTATTGTTGTAAGTAGATCTGAATGTAATCTTTAAAAACGCATTACCGATGACCTACTTATAAAAGGCCACACCATGTTTACAGGTATTGTTGTCCCTGCGTTGCAGTGTGAGGGGCTCAGACTTTAGGTCTTAACTGTAAAACTATTAATAAGATGAAGGAAAACAACATGTTTTTACAGTGTTTATTTTAAGTGTTTTTCAGCCCATGTTTTGTTCACAGTACAGGACCTAATGGCCATGGATACCTTTGCCACCCTGGCTTGTTGCCTTCTGGCACTTTCCTTTGCTGTGGCGCAAACAGAAAATGGGAGTTTGACTACAATCGCACCTACAATATCAACCCCTGATGTAAACCTGACACACACTACTACAATGGCATCTAACTCTACCGTACCTGTGACTGTTATCTCAAACTCGACTGAGAACGCGACTCCGTTTACCAACACGACCCACAACAATGAAACATTCACCAAAACTACAGCTGCTACAACGGAGAGCACAAGTCATCTCCAGACTTCTCAGCCAACAACCATCATGACTCCTCTGACAAATAGCACATCACTGACGAAGACAACACCTGGAAATCACACTCCAACATTTAACGCACCGACAACGCCAGCAATGCAGACGACAGAAGCTAACATAAGTACACCCGATACTACAGTAATTACAACTGCAAATTTGTCTTCCACTGTCTACACAACCTCAGATTCACTGAACAGAACCACACAAGGTAAGCATCAGGCTTCCTGTTTCATTAATGATTAACCTGCTTATTGTATGCTGCTATTCAACTCATATTAATGACTAATTGCTTCCTTTTTTCCTGTGTTATTAGGTTTGCGTCTAAACATGTCAGAAAAGAATATGACTATTCTCTTCAGCGTTGTACTTGGAGTGTTTGCTACGGCCGTGGTTGTGTTCATGTTTCATCAATGCAAACAGAAAATCCAATACTTGCACCAACCTCTTAACAACACTGATGACACGGGTAAGGAGTTTCCTGTCATCAAGCAATACAAATGTTTGTTTGTTATTAGCAATTAAAAATACATATTATATTTTCAACAGATGCGTTTGTGGCAGACGATGACACACTCGTAATCTCTGGAGGACTTTATGATGGCCATCCAATATACGACAATGTACCAACACCCTCAGCAGACCAATCTCAGTTCCGCCTCGAGTTCCTTCATTAAGAAGAGAGTTCGTACACTTTGGGATCACCTTTGGTGCTTGACAGGCTTGAACAAAACTAATCATCCTCACCCGTTAATTACTACGATTTCAAGACTGAAATGTCCCCACTGTGAAAGTCTACTTCTTGATGAGAGACTAATGGCAGAGAGGAAGGGACAACGACGATGGACAAAACATTCAAACAAGGACGATGCTGATTGATTGAACATTTTATTAATCAATGTCAATATTAGGATACATGAATATATTAAATTTATATGTTAAGATTATAACAGCTACACCTTTTCTCACACCACCAATATAAACTTGTGCAGAATAAATGTCATTTCATTTGAAGTATTATTACACACAACACAATGAACTACACTAAAATACTGAAAAACATAGAAGGTGACTCTACAGTCACTTAAAATCTTCTTTAACAAACTGGAATATGAACACCTAAATCTTCAACAATACCGTTTAACTGAACCATAACAATACTTTCTATGCATGTTGAGAAACAAAGTTGGAAGCTGGAACATGAACACCTTAACTTCTAAACTTGATGACCCGTAACAGGACTATTTACGCAAAGATCTTCTCATTGGTCTTCTTCTTTTTTTGGTCACAGCCAGTAACAGCAGTCCAACCTGCATCTCTCATTCTCTTCATCGCAGCTAGCTTCAAGAGGTTCCCTGGTGATTTATTTGTGACAGGACTCTGCTTCTGAAAGTGTGCATGCATTTTCATCAATGAATGAATTGTTCTTTGTCATATTATTTTAAAATAACACCACTATGGTTATTTTACCTTTTTGAAGATGTTGAGTTTGCAACGTGGAGCAGAGATATTGGGTGCCCCTGTAAAGCTCTATCAAAAAGAGGAACAGAAGGCCGAATCAGCTCTCCTGGCCATCTTGCACAAACGGTAAAATGAACAAGTCTAACAGGTTTATGATATTGTATTCTTCTGACAAATAAACCCTCAACCAACAAAAATACAACTCACTAAGATATCATTTTGATCTGAGCTGTCAGACTTGGGGTCAAGCTCTATGGCGCTCTCTCTCCAGCGTGCTGCAGGATCAGAAGGGGGCGTCCTTATTCTGTAAGACTGCGAGGGATTTCAACGAGTAAATGTCAGCAAGTCTTTAATATTGTTTATTCATTTTGAAAAGTGTCAGGATGATACTGCATATTACTTTGATCTTTGATGTTCCGCCAACCCTGTTTGTAATTCTTCTTGGGGTTTTCAGGTCTTCATTGTGAATATCCTTTGATGAAAAGTCAATGTTAGTTA